AAATAGTTAATACTATATAAACATTGCCCTTTTGTTTTACTTATTTAGTGTTTCTTAATATTTTAGTATTTTAGATGAAGAAAAGTTCATATGACTTGTATTAATGCCAGTTGAAGTTTGTATTAGTTTAATTTTTATATACACAACAAATATTGTCTACAAGGTTATATTAGTGAGATACAACTAATTACATCATTGGACCTCATCAAATTAAAATAAATATAATATTATTACATTTAACTAATAAAAAATTTCATTGACCATCCTCATAGGTTCGCTTGAATAAGAGATATATATGATGATACACATTGAACATTCACAAAAGAATCTGCAATATTATTTTTTACTAAGTTTATTATTCAAATCTTTGCTTAAATAAACAATAGTATTTATTAGAACATATATTTTTGGAATTGGTAATCACGTGCAACGCACGTGTCAAATGACTAATAAAGTTAAAAAGTCTTTTTTGAAATTGAGGGTTGAATTATGCATTATCTATTGATATATATTATGATACATAGAATATCCGGATCATTGACATGAAAACACATTTTGATAGTCTAATTTAATGGTATTAAATGTCTATCAGGATTTAAAGAAATATTCTTTGTGGACTCTTCCTTGTGGTGGACAAAAGAAGTGAAAAAGAAAAGATTTAACCGCCTATATTTCATTTATCAAAAGTGTTGGAATATAGACTATTAATCATGTGTTTAGATATAGTAATTATTATAGAATAATTATTTATTCAATTTTAATAGATCATATGGTCGTTTATAGTGTATGTTTACTTATGTAGTAGATGATTTAGGATATAGAGTTTAAGCTTATACACAGAAATTAAATCATAGGTTCTTATAAGTATAAAGTTTTTTGTTCACAATCTAAGATGGGAATTGGACATGTCATCGGTACGATTGTAGCACAAGATTATATGTAGTTTATCTTGATTATGGGAATGATATAGTTCCAACTTCTTGTGCTAGTTCTTTTTATATGTATTGAACGGGACTGAGTAGAGATAGTTGTTTTAGACTGACTGACAAAAGCAGATTCTCTAATCTATTAAATGTACTTATATTCTTAATGCTGATATCTGTATATGTTAATTATTGTTTTGATTTATTAAAAGGTGAGATTCTAAGATGGCAGTATACCTGGTAGATTGGATGATGATAATATATATAGATTGGTGAAATAATAAATTAGTTGATGGAATCCATGGCTCGATATAAAGATTGATGATATGCCTTTTTGAGAAGCTTAAAAGTTTTTATCGTGTCAAACCTTGCAAGTGGATTTATGAATCCGACATATGGAATAAGTTAAGCAGTCATCTAAAGGAGATTGATCATTGAATTAAGTTTGTCAGTAATTTAATTTATTGATTAGTATATGTAATCTTAACATGGGGAATTACATATGTGTTTAATGGGTAATTTCAAAATATAAATAGAAGAGTGCAATTAAGAATTTCTAGTGGAATGATTTGTAAGTTATTATGGTAAGAATAATTCAAATTAATTATTTGAAATAATTTCCAATATAGGAAGGCTCAGTAATTAATTTTGTGGTCCCTACCGTGCCCATATTTAACTAGAACTCAGAAACTATTCTAAAGGGAAAAGGGAGAAGTATGTGTCTTTCTCTATTCTAAGGAAAGGGATAAATATGTGTCTTTCTCTATTCTAAGGCAAGGGAGAAGTATATCACTTTTTCTATTCTAAGGAAAGGAAGAAGGACATGACTTTTCTATTCTAAGGAAAGGGAGATATACATATCTTTTTCTATTCTAAGGAAAGACATGGTATTCCTTCTCCTTGGACTAGGAAGAAATCTCTATAAATAGGAAATCTTTTAAACCTTGAATTGATATAACTTTTTTATAAAATACTTGTCCACCCAAGTATTGAGTGAGTTCGGAAGTAAACTTGGGATCACTGTAGAAGACCGCAGAACTCTGGTCCAGTTTGTGGACTAACTTGTGAATTTTCTTGAAAGTTCTAGCTTGTCGACTAGCTTGTGGATTCACTTGAAGATATTTGCTCACGCTTCAAGAGGTAATTCTTGAATTAAATTTTAGAAAGTTTATGTGGTCTAACAGGATTGTACTTGTTCTAGCATAAACTAAGTGTTGTCTATTATTCATGTAAGTTCTATGATTCCGATATGCTTCTGTTGTGCATATAATTTTCTAACAATTGGCATCAAGAGCCGTCTTACATCTTTATAGATAACATAAAATATATGTATGTGAAATTGTATGTATGATTCTTGGTTGGTAAACATATTTTTATCGTGAAAAGAACGAATCAGATGAAACTTGAAGGTTTTTGATTCATTGGCTAAAGTACATACGCTCTTAAATTGTGAGATGATCAAGAGGGGAAAACGTGTTGGTGACAGTTTTTCACTTTCATGTGGGAATGGACAGCAATAGTAAACACTTGACCTAATGAATATTTGAAGTCCTTTATTTATAAATTAATGGAACCCAAATTGAAAACTTTTTATCAGTTAAAAGAAAAGTTAAAGTTCAATGAATTTTTTTAATTTAATAAATGAAAGTACGAATTTCTGCATATGTAATTGATTTTTGTTTTCGGCGGCTAGTTGCAATTTTTGTAGGGTTGTTTCTTATTAATCCATCAAATTCGCAAAGCTTGATAATGAGATGATCAAGAGGGCAAAATGTGTTGACGACAGTTTTCACTTTCACGTGGGAATGGACAGCAACAGTAAACACTTGTCCTAATGATTATTCGAAGTCTTTTATTTTTAAATTACTGGAACCCAAATTGAATATTTTTTATCAATTAAAAGAAAAGTTAAAGTTCAATGGATGTATTTTATTTAATAAATGTCAGTACGAATTTCTGCACATGTAATTGATTTTTTGTTTTCGGCAGCTAGTTGAAATTTTTATAGGGTTGTTTCTTATTAATCCATCAAATTTGCAAAGCTTAATAAGAAAAGGAATCATAGAGGTTGTTGATGAACAAATAATCATTAACTGATTGTGAAGTATTTTCTTAACTTTATAAAATTTGTTCTTGACTAATTGTTGACTCCAAACCTTATTAAGTGGCGGTGACAGACACTATTCCGGTCAATTGGATTATTTTATTTCTTTTTGTTCAATAATTATTTGAGCATATTATTCATTATATATATATAAACTAAGAATTTTTTGGTTGATAAATAGTTATCACTAAGTGGTTTATTTATTTGAAATCGTTGAAAATTCTTTAGACTTTATACATGTGATAATATATTTTTGTACTACATGAATTGAGAATTATGATTAATAAATAGGATTCACTAAAGTGATCTATTTATTTGAGTCATTAGAAGATCCTCAATTCATCTTGAATAAATTATTCTAAGTGAATATTAGTGGCAAGTATTTATTTGCATAAATGGTGATTTACCTTAAAATACTAGTGATGCTTAATTAATTCATGAGTAGAGACATCGAGGTTTTCATTCAAAAAGAGAGAAACATAATATCTTGGATTCTCAAATGTATTAATTTAGAGAATAATTTATTATAAGAAGGTATTGAGTGTCTTAGCCAAAGGAAGGACACAATGTATGTTTCATGCTCATGAGATAATTATAAAAATAGAATGAAAATCCGAATGATGTTATTTTAATCTTAAACTAGGTCTAAAACGATTATTTTTCAAATTCAGTCATAGTTTAGGTGGTCATGAATTTTCTGATCTATGATTGACTCGAAATTTGATGGTTCCATCAAAAATTATTTAGATGGGTTTTAGGTAGTTTGTCGGATTAAAATTTGATAAAGTCATATTGTTTTAATTCCTAAAGATACTTAAACCACTTGAATTTGAATTTGGTCGTAGCTTTGAAAATATTTTTTATAGACTCCAATTGACCTGAAATTTGGTAAGTTCATTGGTGACAGACTAGTAAGAAATACTCATTGCTATGTGGTTATAGTTTTGAGGCCATTAAAATGGTTTTTTAAGTCGCTCTTTGGAATTAAAATGTGATTTAGTATGAATATAATCCTTTATATCAGTTTTATTTATGTTAAATGTGGTACATGATTACACATGATGAGTTAACATGAATTGATATATGATAAGAATATGGATCTGATTATTTTTCTTAAATCGTTTCAATCTGAATTTAATCATAACTTTGGAGATAAAATTATTTTTAAACTCTAATTGATCTGAAATCAGTAGGTTCATCAGAAACGGTCAAATTAAAAATATTCATAGTTATGAAGTGATTTGGAAATTTGAGGTTTTTTAGATGAAGTTATTTTTTTTTAGATATTTTTGAATCTTGAAAATTAATTTAAATGAAAAATTACTTGATTGTGATACAAAGGTGATAGAGTGTGTTCTCTATGGATGACTAAATTCTAGTGAAGTATTAAGTTCACGTGTTGGCTTAGACCTTCCTCCATGTCGGATGAAATTAGTACAAGTCACTAATCTCTAGTTTTGATAATTTGTATTGACTCTCCCTATCTGAGTAATATATGGTTGGATCAATGGATCTAGGGATAATGATATTCACTTGGTTTAAATTAACAATATACTCTCCATCTGAGTTAGCTCTGGTTCTTAATTTATTAGAGTGAATATCTAACACCATATATGTATGTTGCATGAGTGATTATTTTTTCTTCAAAATTTGTTGTTCAAGATGCATAAATATCTATAAGGTATGTTTTGAATTTTAATATTCAATGTATACATAAATATGCTGATTTTTAAAAAATAGTATTCAGATAATGTAAATAGTTTTAGAATTTTGTTCTTTGTTCTTGATTCGTGTATCTATTTCACAGATGATGATATGTGATAAGAAATTTCGAACGGAAAAAATTCAGGTATGCTTCCGTTATGCATATAGTTTTTCAACAAAAAGATGTTTACTAGATAAACATTTCCATTATAAACCTTGTATGTATAACATTTTTGTGAGTAAAAACAGAATTGTTTGTTTTATGTAGGTTGGGCTTCAAATAGTATAATATCACTGCTCTGCTCACCAATTTGGAATGTTGGCAGTTGCTTCGTTTACCATCTTCACGAGAGTTACCTACAATGTCAATTGTTATAAGTCAAAAAACAAAATCAACAAGTAATTTAATAAATGGTCTTTAAGAAATCCGACATACTAGGAGGGGAATGCTAAAAAAAGAAGTATATAATATTAAGTTGAACAAGTAACGTACACAATAGGTGAAACCATACAAGACATTAAACTTTACATGTGTCAAAAGAATAGTAATGGTGGAATGAGGATATGCAAAACCTACTAAAGCAAAATAAAAAAAATGGAGAAGCCCTAAAAGTGATCAGACAAGATGACACCCAACCTGAGGTAAATCTTTGACTTGTACCAAGATGCCACAAAAACATACTAGAGAATGAAAGGGTAAATCATGAGGATGGGAATGCGATTTTGATCAACTCTTGAGGATAAATCTTCATTCATTTGTCACCCATACAAACCTAGATACACACCTAGACTTAGATATACTACTCAAGAATGACATAATAATAAGAGGGATAAAAAAAAAGGGAAAATGGTATGAAATAGAAAACTATTAATTCAAATTAAATGTTATAAACACTGTTTCATTTAATTCTAATTTGTCGCAAACTGTTTTGCCAGTCGCCTCTCTCCCAGCAAATCTTGCTCACCTCGCCTCTCTCACTTTATACAACACAAATGTATAAATTGTGTTTTTGTTTGTATAAAGCGAGAGAAAATTGTATATATACAAATACAAATACATATATTTTCGTCCTATACACTTAAAATTATACAAACATAAAATTTTCTATGGAGCGCAATTATGCAAACTATAGCTATAACATACAAATATGTTTTTTTATTTTTACTATATGTGAAAGTTGCTCATAAAAAAAGGCATGTAGTTTATATGGTATATAGGATAATGCATTATTGAGGTTATAGTAAAATGGCTAATTAAGTTGTTTAATATTTCATTAGGACAAAGGAGGCCAAACAAGTGGAGAAGAATGCATCCATGTCGATACATAAGAAAAAATTACAAAATTCGTCGACCAAAAGAATAAAAATTAATGTTTCATGGTGCATGAAATTGCTATCTGCAAATCGTATTGTAATTATTGAAAAAATTAGAAAGGGAGTTAACCAAAATCTGGTATTATGGAGATGAATACTAGAGATCATAGTTTTTAGGATAAGTAGAAATAAGACGGAATATGGACTACAAGTTTAACATTATAAGAAGAACAAGAAAAAGTGAGACCAAATGATGTTATATATGGTGCCTAAATGTTGGAAACTCAAATATTAACTTCTAATTCTTCATAAGCATGGCATGAAGATAAAGGTGAAATACATATTCAACAAAGGATGGATGAAACAAAGAATGTTATGGGAGTGCAATGCAATGGGATTATGACAAACTGATTGGTAAGTTCAAGAATGATAACGAGACCCATAAGAATCCAATATATACTTCTGTTCTGCTGGGACAAACTATCCCCCGGTACCTTCCCCGAAAAATATTTTTATTTTGTTATCTCCATCCACATAGACTTCTTCTTCTTTTGTTTCCAAGAACTAATATTCTAAATAGTTTTTAAGTATAGACTTTTTTTGTTGCTTGTCAGCTTCCTACTTTGGCATAGATGATAGTAATGAAGATGACACTTAGCATTTTCTTGATACCAGCAATGAATCTACTTAATAAAAAAAACCTCAACATTGAAATGAAATGGACCTGAAAAACAAATTATTAGTGTTTCTGTAAAAGATAAACTCATAATGGATATGTTATTTCCAAGTGAATCATTAATAATATTGTATATAATATCAAAACAATTTTGTTATAATGGTTAGAATTTGGGATTGAGGGAAATGTTTCATTTTCTTTATTTTATAAGGTAAACATATTTCATTGTATACCAAAAGGTTAAGCATCTACAAAAAAGACATGATTCTCTACAAACTCCACTCGTTCTTTTTGATATAAAACTGAAATGTGAAAGTTGAAACCATAACACTAAGAACAAGAATTAAAAATAGAAGGATAGAAAAAACACCAGATGGAGATTAATTGAAAACTATAGCAATAGAAACCTTAAACCCGCGATTAATAGAATCCAACAAGCACCTAACTAGAAGATAACCTTCAAGAGGAAAGCTTTGTCAAGCCAGCAATATATAAACATGGAATAGCAATAAAGGCCATAGCCCCAACTCTCTCTAGACTCTAGAGTATCACTCATAATCTCAATATCACAAAAATAATCTACCTACTAAAATGACATATTATAGTATTTATACTAGAATAGGCTAAGACTAAAGAAATAATGGTGATGATTAAAAGAATACCCTTAATGAGTTAACGATCTTCCTAGTCTTATTAGTCAAAAGTCTTGTGTTGTTTTAAGAATAACCTATTTCTCCCTTCTCCCTTGTACTTCCACTTTAGTATGTTCTTGAACTTTAACTCTTCATTCCAAGAACCCTCCAAGCTTCCCGACTCGACGAAAAGTGTACCAACTCCATATCTTGGCTTCCTGCGCAAGGTTAAACTTGGCTTGCATCACTTCTCAACAACAAAGAACTTTACGAGTGCACCAAAAGAAAATAAATGACCGGACACCTTTTCTAAGCATAGTAAAAATAGACTCTATCCCCTCAAAAGCTCTATTATTTCTCTTCCCAAACAACCCACATCAACACAAGATGAGCCATGTTCCATGCCCTACATCTTCTCCTCTTTCTCCAACTCCTCCAACAAAGCATCAAATCTTTCAAAGATTTTGGCCTTTTCCAAGAAGTTTAAAACCACCTAGACAAATCCTAGCATGACCTCATTGTAATATCATAATGTAGAATAAGATGATCGACGTCCTCTCCCGCTTCCCTACACATGATACACCATCTGATGCAAACAATCTTCCGTTTTCTCAGATTTTCTGCCATCAAGATCACCACTCTAGCAGTTGGGCAAGAAAAAAAATACACCTTCTTCAACATTTGTGGAATCCATACTACATAACCTAGAAACTTAACCTTCTCCCTAATAAAAAAAAAATCATAAAAAAAACTTAACTAAGAGAAATCCATTGTTCCCCAAACCCACCACAAAGCATCAAGATTATCCACTGGAGTACCTTTCCTAAAAAGTAGCGCCAACAACCTTTGAAACTCATTTACCTCCCAATTGTGGAAATCCCTTCTAAATGTAAAATCCCAAAAGTTCTATTTTCCTTGTGTTCCCCTAATTAGGTGTAGCGTCAAGTTTCCTTCACATGATATTAAGAACAAAATCAGGAGGTCATCTTTCAGTAATATCACCCCCACACCACCTTTGTACCTAGAAACTAAACCTTTTCCTATATCCTACCTTAAATGAGATGTTAGCACTAAAATAATCTCATCCCTTAAAAATATTCCTCCACAAGCCACACCCAGAGGGCATATATTGTGAATAATGAATTAATCAAAATACTTTTGATGATGACAACATGAACAAGGTTCACATAACACATACCAAACTTAATATGAAGAGGCGGGAAGAGTTCACTTATTCAGAGATAAAAAAAGCAAAAGCGTGTCCAAAACAGCAAGCCAAATTAAAAGAGGAAAACAATAAAAGCAGAAGACTCCGAGACCAAAAATGAAGAAGGTAAACAAGTTCTATAAGGAAACTGATTAGATATCTAGGAAAACTTATTTCTTTCCATGTAGAAGTTGATCAAGGAAAAAACCAACCTCTATAAAAGGACAGAACAAAAAAGAGAAATAGTTGCCTTTGAGAAATAACAAATTGAGAAAAATTATTCCAAGCAAAGGTCGAATCATCAAGGAGATCAAGAAAGTGAAAGAAAGAAGTACTAGAGTTAGGATCTAGTACTTCTTTCTGAAGTATAGTGTTACATTGGTTTGTCTTGAATCAATGTTTAAGATGTGTATTCTAAGAGAGAAAGAGAGTGAGTTTGAGAGAATTATAACAAGAAGCGAGTTTGACTTTTTTGAGAGTAGAGTCTTCGATTATAGTTAATCGATAGAGAGTAAAGGTACTAGAGTTAGTTCATTGATTATTGAGTTGTAATCTTGAATTGTGCTTAAAGGTAATAAAACTGCGGTGTGGTTTTTTCCTTTCTTTGAGGGACGAAGGTTTCCGTGATATAATCTCTATTTTATTGTGTTGCAATTGTTTATTTTGGTAAATGTACAAGAACCTGGTTCTTGTATAGGGGTAAGCTTTATTTAATTAGTATCAGAGTAGGTCTTTACATTAGAAGACTCACATCTTGAAAAGGATCAATAGTTGCACCACCTACACCACAAGAAGGAACTTCCCAAACTTGACAACCATTGTTCAATGGAAAGTCTATGGATGGTGGAAGAACCGCATGATGGATCACTTTATAGAAGAAAATTCATACCTATGGGGAGTTGTCTTGGATGACTAACCATACCCATGAAAAAGGGAACTTATAGAGTCACTAAGATACCAAAGGAAAGGAAGGAATGGGATGCTGGGAATAAACTTGCAATTCAGAACAATCCTAAGGCTAAGAAGATTTTGATATGATTTATAGGTCCAGATGAGTACAATCGGATCTCATTATGTCAGGATGCAAAATCAATATGGAAAATACTACAAACCACTCATGAAGGGACAACTCAGGTAAAGAAGTCTAAAATTGTCAATTTGAATAGGCAATATGTGAGTTGTTTTGAATGGTAGAAGGTGAAACAATTCAAGATATGCATACCAGGTTTACTGCAATCATTAATGAAATCTACTCATTAGGAGAAGTAACTCTTAACAGAACGGCCGTCAGAAAACTTCTAAGTGTTCTTCTAGAATCTTGGGAGAGAAAAGTATCACAGAAGCACATCACATAGATAAGCTAACTATGGATGACATTAGAAATCTTATGACCTATGAACTCAAGAAAAACTAAGAAAAGGAAATTAGAGGAACGAGAAAATATAAGAACCTGGATCTCAAGGCTACAACACTAGAAGATTTCAAGGATGAAAACACCATACTAATGACCAAGCCATTCTCTAGAATG